AATTCTTGTCATTGTTGTAAACCGTTACTAGAAACCAAGGAAACTACTGGTTCAGTTTTGTTTCATTCATGTAAAGATGAAATTTCATGAAAGGGCAAAATGCAATTGCCTATTAAAATCCCTTTAGAAAGTGAAAAGATCGGCAAGCGCTGATAAAATAGTTTTTATCCAATTTCGAGATACATTTTTAATAATGATGTGTTAATTTGGAACTAGAAATTTTGAATAACATCCGGTCTTTGTGATAATAAATATGCTAACGTTCGTTATATATTATCGAAGTGCGCTTTGCTAACAGCATCACCACGTGCGAAGATATTCGAAATATCGCAAATCAATTGCGCTGTTTTACATAATTAAAAAAACTCCCCTTAATTAAATCAAACGGTTGTTTTTCCAAGCAAGTTGATGTCAATAAAAAAAGGCTTAAGAGCTCGCAAGAAGCTTTTCCAATTTTTGATGTGAATAATTCCATGATTTAAGAAAACTGATATTTAATCAACCGAAGATTTTATTAAATTGCTTAGTAAAACAGTTTTTCTAGTTTTTTCTGGAAATTAAAAAATTCATATAGGAACCGCTTTAACATGAAAACTAAAATTTTTATAACTAATATTACAAAATAAATTTTACCGATTTTTGTATTTACAAATAGTTTCAGATGGATTTGTATATTGAACTGATAACTATTAATTCACGGGTTCATGCAATATCTTTTGATTGCTGCACGCGTATTATTAGTCGCTATGCTAATACCTCGATAAGTCTGCTACTTTGTTGCACTTTTTAAAACAAACTTTCATTCATTAATATATTATGAATTGTAATTGATTGTGGACACTCGTATGATTAAACCTAGTTTCTATGTGCTAATTAGTATGTACGATATGAATGACTTAATAGTAATATTTTTTCCATATGGAAAAAAGCATTGAAATTTTGAATAGACGACTTTAAAGGATTATGGAAAATCTGCGATCTTAAGAGTTTATTCACGTAGATTCCTAATCTTTGCGTTTAAAAAGTAATCTTGTATGAAAGAATGAAGGACCACCGGGGGAACATTTTAAATTTATCTATCCATTTAATTAGAACGCTCTTTTAAACGACGCTTTTCAAACTTCAGACAGTTTCTCCTTGATTATTTTAACAAAGCGTTGACTGTTGTAGGCGGGTTTTAGATTAAATTGCACACCGAAAACTTTCCGGATAAAGTATTATTTTCTGACCAATGCACGTTTCTTGTGAAAAAATATGCATTATTGTAATGGATCTGTCAATAAGCGCACTTTCCATTATTCCTCGAATAAAATCCGCACCCATTTCGAACCATGCAAAATCATCACAAGTGGTCAGTAAATTCGTGGGGAGGAAAACAATTAAATGGCTCTTATTTCTTCCAAGACCATTTGAATGGAGACATTTTTTTAGGTTCTTGAATCAGCCAGCTTTCAATGTTATTAGAAGATATTCTGTTTAACATTAAAGCAGCCATTAGGTTTGGGCATTTTTAAATCTTCATTTCAACAGCGTCGGATTGGAAGAAGCGGTTGTCAAAACTGGCCTCCGCGACAACCAGATTTGACTCCTCCGGATTTTTTATGCTGATATGTAAAAAAGTGTTAATTGTTATAAGTTAGGTACTGCCGTTGTGACATATGAACGAATAATAGTATTTCTGGGTGTATGTTAGAATTATACCTACGATATTTAGCGCAATTATGGTATACGCCAATACTCTTGGCGTAAAATACAAATACAATAAAAATTTATTGAAAAAAGTGCAAGTTTCACCGTTGAAACCGTGCAATAATTGTTTGAGCACAAATTTGAATATTTTGCTGGTATAGTAGAATAATAGCATTGCTGAGAATGCTGGGTGCTTGTTAAAATTCTAATTACGATTTTATTTCTACTTTAATTGTTTTGTGTTTTTATTTTATACACCGTGCAATGATCTAATAAGACAAAGAGCTCGAATGGTACTTTGACAAAAAAATCTGCACGCGCAAATTTTGGTTGCTATAGGAAATGTCCAGTGCGAGATAAAGACGTCGCTTTAGCAAAGTGATAACCGAATTTTCATTCATTATTTCTTCAATGAGTAAATGTGTTCTTATCTTGACAAAGTCAGCGAAATTTTCATATAAATGGTCTGTGCTTTTGGGGTAAGATCACACTCTGCGGCTGTGTTCGTATCAGCAATGTGGTCCCAATTAGCTTTGTGTGTATTTGGTAAGTACATTTTTATTTACTTATGCTTCTTTTGACTCATAATAATAATCTTTACTTGTTTCGAAAAAAGCCATCGACCAAATCGGGGTTTTCGCCAATTTTCTTGACTATTTTCAATCAATGGCAATATTTTCCTTTCAATGTCCACTTTAGTAAAAGTTCATTAGGGCCATAAGGAATAGAAAACCAATAATTCTTAGGACACATTTATCCTCCCGGCCTTTCTTAATCATACTCAGGGTTTTTTTTAACCAAAAATTTAAATATGTTTTTTTATTTAAGTGGGTCTGGCGTACGCCTCAGCCAACCCAACATGGAAGGATAATACCGAATACGTTTACTCGGTTAACGGACGAACTCTAAGTAGCTTACAAGAAGCCGCTGCTGAATATTCTGGAATTTTCTTGAAAGCTAAGTTGCATATGTGGATCCGCCCTGATGGAAAACTGCAAGGAAAAGTGACTGATTCTAAATATGCCCAAATCCAAAGTCACCTGCCCAATGGCTGGAAGGAGGACGTTCCCAATTCCAAGTTGAGCTTCAAACCTTTGGGTCTTAGTGAAAAACCTTTCCAAATGAATTTGGAAAATGGTTTGATCACAGACCTGGAGGCTGAACGAGAACTCACCAACTGGGAGGCCAATATTATCAAGAGTATTGTGAGCCAGTTCCAGATGGATATTCAAGGCAAAAATGGAAACCCTGAGCGTTTTGACGCCGTTTTCAAAACCATGGAAGAAACCGTAACTGGAAAAACTGAGACTATTTACGAAATCCACCCCTTGCCAGATTATTTGATCCAAAGTCAACCTTGGTTGGCTCCACAGCAGAAATTGGGAGAAGGTGGTTATATTGTCGAAATCAACAAATACAAAAACTACAGCAACTCTGAAGTAAAGCAATCTTACCATCATGGATTTGGTGACATGAAAGACGTTGATCCAGCATCTAACAAAATGGGAGAATTCTTCATTAGAGAATCTTCCTCCCGGGCAATCATCACAGGAAAGCCTTCACGACACGTCATCCAAAATTCTTACACCATCAACAAGATGATGGTCAACCCTGATTTGAAGAATAAGGAAATGGGATCTGTTGTCAGCATGGTTAATGTGACATTATCGGAAGTGAACGAAAGAACCAGTTATCCAGACCTTGAACGACCAAAACCTATCGGAAACTTGCTGTACGTTTTTGAAAAGTCTTTTGACGCCATCAGCAAACAAGACAGCATGGGAGATAGTAGTTCCAGCGAAGAAACCACTGAAGGTAACTGGAGAAGAATGCGTCGTTCTCTTGGCATGTCATCATCAGAAGAAGATGCCCAAAAACAGTCCAAAACACATATGTCGCAAGCTCTTGCATCTCCACTTCTTCTTTCAATGTCAGACCTTGGTAAATCTATGAAGAGAGACACTGACTTCGACATTAAACACAACGTCGAAATTCTCGCCGAAGAAATCTGCAAAGAAATGCAGCAGCCTGAAGAGATCTTGGCTAAGGCAACTTTGAACAAATATACAATCCTCAGCACTCTTGTTCGTCTTATGGATGAGGATCAGATCAATTCTGTGGCTGAACAGTTGTACTCTGAATCCCAGAATAGTGATAACAGTCCATGGCCTGTATATCGCGATGCCGTAGCTGAAGCAGGAACTGAACCAGCCTTCTCTAACATCGAGAAATGGATTAAATCCAGTAAAATTCAAAAGCGTGAAGCTGCCGACGTTGTTGCTACGATGGCCCAAGAAGTCCGTGCTCCAACTGAAACCTACATGCGCAATTTCTTTGACTTATTAAAGAGCGCTGAAGTGCAAAAGCAAGCCCATTTGAACGAAAGCGCTATTCTATCGTTCACCAACTTGGTACACAGAGTGTACGGCAACCGAAATGAGTCCAACAACCAGTTTGCAGTCAATGCCTATGGAAGCTTCTTCACCAAGAGCGGAAGGACCTTTGCCGAATCCACAGTGATCCCATACCTATCCGAGCAGCTGCAATCCGCAGTTTCTTTAGCTGATTCCTACAAGATTCACCTCTACATTCGTGCTCTTGGAAACGTTGGACACAAGAAAATTATTGAGGCTTTCCAACCCTACTTGGAAGGCGAGAAAAAAGTGTCTCAATTCCAGCGCATGTGGATTGTAGCTTCTCTAGACAGACTCGTTTCCGACAACCCAGCTGCTGTCCGTCCTGTTCTGCACAAAGTGAGTCATACGCAAAACTCAGTTGAGGGTTTCATTATAATTTGTTTGTTTCCAGATCTATCAAAACACTGCTGAGGTACCAGAGGTTCGCGTCATTGCTGTACACCAGCTCGTAAGGACAAACCCACCAGCTGAAATGCTCCATCGCATGGCCCAATACACCAAAACCGATTCCCAAGAGAAAGTTAACGCTGCAGTTAAATCTGCCATTGAATCAGCCAGTAATCTGGAATCGCCCAGATTCGCAGCTTTGTAAGTATCTTTCGCACATGCTGCATGGAACCTTTGAATCTTCTCGCTCTAAAAGGTGCCAGTTTAGTCAAACTTGTGCTTTTTTACAGGAGAAACGCTGCCCAAACAGCCAAGCACCTCCTTACCACGAAGCAATATGGAGCTGACCAAAGCTACTTAGCAATTCAAGATCACATGATACGTGAAATGCAAGTTGAGATCGAACATCAGTTGCTGGAAGTTGGTAGCCAAGACAGCCATTGGCCGAAGATTCTCGACTTTAGCCTCAATGCCGATATGAGTGGAATGAAGATGCCCACTATCACGGCCCAGGGCATTCTTTCCAGCATGAAGGACGCTACTAACGTTTTTAAGCAAACAACTGCAGAATACCAACAAAATAAAAACCAGAGGTTAGTAATTGTTGCTTTTTTTTGGGGACTAAAGTAATAAGGAAATGTGTGTTACAGATCTGAGCAAGCAAATAACGACGGTCCTTTGTCCAGTGCGCAAATTGCCAAGAAGCTTAAATACAATTTCGAGGAACGGGAACAGCTAGAGTCGGTGATTTTGGCCCAATTCGGCTTCATTGAGAAACTGTGGTCTGTGAACAACCAAACCATTGACGAGTTGCCTGAATGTATGTCTTTAAAGTGTCTTTGCCAATCTGTATGTAACGTATTGGTTTATTTCCTAGTTATCCGCCAACAAGAAGACGCGTTGAAGAAAGGAAAGAATTTCAGTTACTCCAAGATCAAGAGACTGCATGAGCTGTCACTCTACTTCCCCACTGAAATGGGTATTCCATTCTTGTTCTCCTATGAAGTGCCTACACTAGTGAAATTCGAAGGAAAGATCAAAGGTTCTTCCACTCCTAGCATTTCCCAGTCCAACCAATTGCAGAAGCCTGAAAGGATCAATGCTGAAATCGACGCTTACATGACCATCAGCGCGAAAGTCCAAAGCCAACTGTCCTTGATAACTCCATTCGATCAACGGATTTACTCCGCAGGTTTCGACAAAAACATTCAGGTCCACGTGCCAGTTAAGGCTAACGCAGATATCGACGTTAAGAACAAGGAAATGAAGATCGAATTTGACGTTCAAGAAAAGCATAACAACGCCCGTGCTTTGCATTACAGTACTTGGCCATACACTTCCCGAAGTGGTGTGCTCGACATCGCACCAATTCCTTTGAGGCCCAACACTCTCGTGATTAAGCGCGATGTTCAACAACACAGATCTATTGATGCTACCTTCGGCAAAAGCCAAACTGGATTAGCTTTCCGACTATGGGGACACCATCCCGTCCAGTCCTTAACTTTGGGAGACTTGCATAAAGCATGGCAATCCAAGAACCTGAACCACTTATGGAGCATCGTGTGGGATCAATCCGCAATTGAGTTCACTGAAATTAACGTTGCGTATGTTCCAAGCCAATCGACTGTCCGCAAAGCCACTTTCCGTGTCCGATTTGAGCAAGACTACAAAAAGAAGCCTGCGAACGCACAAGAAGAAGGGTTCCTTTCTCTGCAGCAATTGGCCAACAAAATCGACAGCGATAAGGCCCAAAACCGTCAACAGGAAGTCATGAAGACCGCTGGTTCAGGCATTCAAAGCGCTGATTTGTCCAGCTCCGATATTTCGGTAGAATTTGAAGGCGACCAGCAATTCCAACACATTTGCGGATATGCGTATGCCAAGAGCAACGCTGACCCAGCATCCAGAGCTATTCTCTACTACCACAACAAGCAACAAAACAAACAATTCGCTTTTGAAGTGAAAGGACGTGTGGCCAACACTAACGCATTGGACCTGACTGAATCTTTGAATGTTGAACCTTCAGCCAAATACGCCATGCGCTCCCAATATGGAGACGCTAGTGAACACATCAACAATGTTGTAAAGGTATCTGCCGAAGTTAAAATGCAGAGAAGCAAAGCCCGCAAGGAATATCTGACGGAACAAGAGCCTTTGTATGCTGTGTGCAAGTCAGAGATGCAACAAGGCAACTTCCAGCTTGCCGCCTGCTTAAACATGACTCTTCAGGCCAACTTCCTTGATGATGTTCAATTCAGGATTGAGCACCAAAACCTGAATAAACGTTTCGCTCGAACTGTCCAGCAAGCTTTCCAAGGAATCGTCGTCTACAATTACCCCATGACTGAAGAGCAAACTGCCCCCTCTGAAGGTGAGAACGTTATTGAAGGCAAAGTCCAGTTCCAACCAGAGGACTTCAGACAAGCAAACATTACTTTGACTGCTGACGACCAGGAAACTAAGTTCATCAACATTTCCACCCGCTCCCAAATTGTAAAGGCCATCTTTGTACAACATCCAGTCTACCATCTTCGGTCCAGGATCGGCGGCTTAATCAAAGCTCACCCAACCATCAGACGTAAGTACCTACTTTATTTCGTTTAGCATTTTCAGTTCTTGAAACACTATCATTTATTTTTTGAGCCATTCAAAGGTGGCTCATAGTCAAAAGCGCTTTTTCTGATGCCAAACCTTAATGTTAATGGTATTTCAACAGCAAGCTGTGTCATCGACCAAACTGCTGCCCAAACCTTCTCCAACAAAACTTACCAACTGTCTATCGGCCAACAACAAACCGTTGTTCTGCAATATATCCCTAAGGACGCTCCTTTGGAGAAAAACCACCAACATAGCGTAGAAGAGCAACTGAGAAAGCAAATTGAAAACTACGTGGTTTTGACGCGTCAAGTCCCTAATAAGAAATACAGAGAAGTGCTCATTTCATTCAACCATCCGAAATCTCAGGGCAAAACTGTTGAAGTGAAATTGGAGGCCATCCAAACATCCCCTTCAAACCCAGCCGCAATCGTCAAAGTTGATGGGCAACAGGTCCACTTTGATGATAAGAATATTGCTGATCTCTACGATGGATTTGTTCAGATCTACTCTTTGCCTAATGGAGAAGTTAAAGTTGAAATCAGAGATGCATTCTATGTGATCTTTGATGGAAAACGTATGAGAATAACCGCCTCTAGCGACAAGCTGTTCGATTCTACCTTCGGTTTGTGCGGCCGTTTCAGCGGAGACGTAAATGAAGACTTCACCGTTCCACAGAAATGCGTTGTCAGAGACGCACAATTCTTTGCTCAAAATTACCAAGTAGAAAACCGAAACCAACGACGCAGCTACCGCTCTGGAGAATGGTCTCAAGAATGCGTGGAAAAAGTCCTGCCTTTATACACTAACGTAGTTTCTGAGAATAAGTTATCAAGGTCCAAACAAGGACTTAGGAGCCAACAAAGCGGTACCAAGTTGAGATCTCGCTATGTGGAAGAAAATGGTGAGCTCTGCTTCTCTCTTCGTCCACTTCCCGTCTGCAATGGACGTGCTCGCAACACCGTCTCCAAGAACGTTCCTGTTCACTGCCTTCAGGGAACCAAGACTGCCTACTACCTTAAATCTCAAATTGATCAAGGAGGCAACCCCGACTTCAGCCGCAAGCCCGAAACCAAGACGGTCCGCATGGAAGTACCTGTGCAGTGCGACTGAACAACAACATCTATATATTTTTAGTTGTAGAACGAACATACCAGAAAATGTAAAAAAATCTAAGTAAATTAAATGGCTTTATAGTAGACCTGCTTATTAATTGAACAGTTTTTGCTGACCATCGAGAACACCCATATTACTAAAGTACTCGTATTGGATTTCGTATATAAATTTTCGCTAATAAATCGGCGAAAGAACTACCACCTTCCTCGTGAAAATGATTTTTAGGAACACCCTGTATAGCCTTAATGACATATGAACACTTTAAACAAACATGCTAATGTTTATTATGTTGTCATGTTCCAAACAAAGTAAACAAATATCAATGTTGTTGACCGCATTGATGATCAAGCGACTAAAGGATGATCGCATTCAGCGGATCTCATGGATTCTGAGACATTTAAATCAATCAGTTTGTTTCGAAGAGTTTCTAGAACTTGAAGCATTTAGAATGATTTAAAAGTGAATAAACATGAGCTAGTTGCATTTCTGGCTTTCTTGCAATAAATAATAAAATTGCATTTTGAGCGATTCAAGTTTTTCCGGCAACTTATTTTTTTGGGAAATTTTATAATTTCCTTGAAACTTTTAGAATCCTTAGTGTCAAGCGTCTTAAAAATTCGTACAATTTCCAATTGCTACTGAACTCCGTTTGAAGGATATTAATTTTTGAAAACAGAGCGCAGTTCAGTAAAAACATTCAATTTGCGACTGATATTGGCCAAGCTGGTAAAAATCAGAATTCTGCACAATTTTCCTAAAACTTTCAGTATCTTTGATGTCTGTTAATTTTTAAATACTGCATGCGTGCGTTTGGAAATTTTTTTTTTGAAACAGAGCACAATTAAATAAGAACATCTATTTTGAGACCGATATTGATTAAGTAGAAAAAAATCAGAATGTTTCACGATTTTTCATGCAACTTTCAGCATCTTTAGTCGTAAGTGACTTAGAAAGATTCGAAGGATTTCGAATTGCTACAGCTTTTAGTTTGGAAGATACAATTATTTAAAAGTAAAGCGCAGTTGAGTAAAAACTGCTATTTTGAGACAGACATTGATTAAGCAGATAAAAATCAGGATTTCACACCATTTTAGTGGAACATTCCTAATTTTTATTTATAGTAGACCTGCTTATTAATTGAACAGTTTTTGCTGACTTCATCGAAAACACCCATATTACTAAAGTACTCGTATCGGATTTGGAAAATATAAATTTTCGCTAATAAATCGGCGAAAGAACTACCACCTTCCTCGCGAAAATGATTTTTAGGAACACCCTGTATAGCCTTAATGACATATGAACACTTTAAACAAACCTGCTAATGTTTATTATGTTTTTATGTTCTAAACAAAGTAAACAAATATCAATGTTGTTGACCGCATTGATGATCAAGCGACTAAAGAATGATCGCATTCAGCGGATCTCATGGATTCTGAGGCATTTAAATCAATCAGTTTCTTTCGAAGAGTTTCTAGAACTTAAAGCATTTAGAATGATTTAAAAGTGAGTAAACATGAGCTAGTTGCATTTCTGGCTTTCTTGCGATAAATAATAAAAATGCATTTTGAGCGATTTAAGTTTTTCCGGCAACTTATTTTTTTGGGAAATTTTATAATTTCCTTGAAATTTTTAGAATCCTTAGTGTCAAGCGTCTTAAGAATTCGTACAATTTCCAATTGCTACTGAACTCCGTTTGAAGGATATTAATTTTTGAAAACAGAGCGCAGTTCAGTAAAAACATTCAATTTGCGACTGATATTGGTCAAGCTGGTAAAAATCAGAATTCTGCACAATTTTCCTAAAACTTTCAGTACCTTTGGTGTCTGTGAATTTTTAAATACTGCTAGCGTGCGTTTGGAATTTTTTTTTTTTGAAACAGAGCACAATTGAATAAAAACATCTATTTTGAGACCGATATTGATTAAGTAGAAAAAAATCAGAATTTTTCACGATTTTCATGCAACTTGCAGCATCTTTAGTCGTAAGTGACTTAGAAAGATTCGAAAAAAAAAATCAGGATTTCACACCATTTCAGTGGAACATTCCTAATTTTTATTGTCAAGTATTTTCTAAAGATTCAAAGAATTTCGAATCGTTATTGCGTTTTGTTTGACAGCTATGATTTTTTTAAAGATAGAGCACCGTTGAGTAAAACATCCATTTTTAGACAGATATTGACTAGGCTGATAAAAATCAGGACTCCACAGGATTTTTATGAAACTTTCACTTCAAATGATTGGTAGAATTTAGAATTGCTACTGTATTTGGTTTGAAAGCTATGATTTTTTAAAGGCAGAGCGCCGTTGAGTAAGAACATCAATTTTGAGGCCGGCATTGACTGGCTGGTAAATATCTAGATTCTGTGCGATTCTTATGAAAGTTTCAGCAGGTTTAGAGTCAAGTGTCTTCTAGTGACGGCGAAAATTTCAGAAAGTTACTTTTTCTAGTTTAGAAGATTCCAATTTTTAAAGCAGAGAATTGGTTAAGTCCGTTCATTACGAGACGGATTTTACCAATTTTGTCACCCTCATTTACTAAGCGGGCAAAACTCAGGATTCTCAATAATTTTTCTGAAACTTCCAGCACATTTAGGGTGAAGTGTCTTCTAAGAATCGTAAAATTTTCAAGTTGCTAGTTTGTTTAATTTGAAATAGAGGAATTTCTAAAAGAGAGAGCACAGTTGATTAAAAACATCCCCCGATTTTTACTTAGCTGAACAAAAAGCAGGATTTTTTTCGAGATTTTTGAATTTTCGTAATTTCGTGAAAATGTACAGGGTCTTTGGAGTCAAGTGTTTTTTTACCTCAACCACATGCATATAGGGTTTGATGCTGTAATCACGAAGACATCGTCGATGAAAGATCGTAATCGCTCAAAATGCTTAACGCAATTTAAATAATTCAACATTGATTCTAAAAAAAACTTTAATAAAAAAGCAATAATTTACAAATTCAACTATATTAGATAAATATTCAAGTCTTAATGCTAAATATCACAAATGTTTATTAGCTTTAGAACACAATAAGTAAAATCAATATGTAAAAACTTTTAGCTCTGTTTAGATCTCAAGTCATCAAGTATTAATATAAAAATATAAAAAGTTGCAAATAAATATAATAAATAATAGGGTCTAAAAGTGTTTACACACTCCCTGTGCATAAGGGAAATTGTTTTAAATAAATTAAGTGCTGACATGGACAATTTTCCGAAAATTGTCCGCAGGACTATCGAGTACGCAATAATCTAATTCTAGATTAACATAATTCTGAAGTCGACTTTACAAAAACGTAAAGTTTGCTACAGATCAAGACTCACTAACTGCAAGGAACATATATTTTTCCATTACAATATAAATCTCTATCAAGACAGTAAGGACTCATTTAGTAGCGCCAGCGCTACAGGAGTTATTAACGGTGGGACACCGCACAACATGTCCGCTTTTAAAACATTTTAAATGTTTTCACTGAAACATTAACAACCAATTGGACCAGCCAACGGCAGTCTTTTATTAATAAAAATTATTGCTATACTGGTGAAAGCTTCTCAACTCAAATAGCTTGAACTTAGCATTAGTGGCATACACACAAGCATTGCTATGGTCTTAACATAGAATTAAAAATACTGCTTACGACAATGTGACTATATGACGACGACTTTTCAAAATATGGATAACCACTTCGGGGTTCCACCAAGAGCCAACAAGTGAAATAATACAATTCCCGTAAGATTGGTCGTCCCATATCAAACATTTTGAAAAATCGATTCTTTCAGTTACATGCAAGCGCAAGTTTCGACAATCATATTCGACAGTGACTTCGTGGTTAATGTTTTATTGCCATCCATGTATATTAAGTGCAATTGTTGAAACTGCGTAGCCGCACAGCATGGTGTCAGCTCCGGTCGCGAGCCTCTTTGATTGTTTTTCCCCATAACTTTCTGCAAAAGACCACAATTTGTAACTATACATTAGCAAGTTTATAACATTGGAGGATGCAGCCTGATAGTGGTTTGATAACGGCATTTTGGGTCAGGTCAGGTCGCTTTCCATACAGGAATTCGTAATATTAATAATGCGCTAAATAGTTTCAGTTTGTACGACGTAATTGGTTTATATTAATCCGAATCGAAAACAGCTAATTCAAGGTTGTTTGTTTATTTTAAAGTTATTTAATCTAGAAATAGCTTCCGCAATTTACGTCTTGAAATAGGTGGTTGGTGGCACGATCTTTCTCAAAATGTTTCCCGATCTAATTGATGGTTGCACTTATAAATCAGAGTGCGTTTTACCTTTTCCATCGAACTTCTAGTTCACACAGAACGTTTTACCGGACAAATTGTATCAAGTGAAATGGGACTTTGGGAATGTGAAAAGTCCCACACCTTCAGAAAGTCCGCCTCCAGCATTCTGGGGGAGGCAAAAAGTCGCAACCCCAACCCATATAAAAAAATAAAGCAAAGATCAAAGTCTTGCTAACATTATATCTCGTGCATAACATGTTCATTTGTTAATCAGTAAAAGGCGGTCCAAACGCAACGTTTCGTCGAACAGATTGTCGAAAGGGACAAGTTGTTTTAGAAAAAGTTGCTTGGACCGCCTTTTACAGATGATGATTCAAGTGTCTTTGCACACCCCTTTCACTTCACACAAACATTAATCTGAGCAAAAAATCCACTTTTTCGTTGTCATTGCGATTTTGCTTCTCTTACCTGTAATATACTATTATGATGGGTAGCACTATTCATTATGGCCGTTGGTGTAGTGCAGGATCCTCTGCAAAAGAAGGCATTGTAACCTTCGGGTTTGATTATCCAATCATTCCACCCGATTTCCGCAAAAGAAACGTACAGGCTTTCCCTGCAGCATTCATTAGGCGAATCTTTGCATTCTGATGATCGTTTTGGACGCCGATGCATCAGAGATCTGAAACAATCATTCAACCTTTAGCTAGTTGAACGAGAGCGGACGTTACAAAAAGCCAAAACCATGCAGGGTTTTGCATAGACAAATAAAAATATCGGCTACTAACCGTCTTTGCTGCGAATGAGTGTAGATGATTAGGAAGGGCTTCAAATCCCCAGAGAATGAAACTGGAGATTGGGATTTATCCAGGCCGCAAGTTTTGCATAGAACGTTGATAGCGTGAATTGGAGAGTCCTGGAAATCTAGCCAGTTTTTCACCACGTATGTTACGTCCACTTTCAACCAGCCTTCTGAAATAGTACGTTTAGATGAAGAAAATGAACATCTGGATTAGACCAGTTGCTTCAATTTGCACTCTTTGTTGTTTATTGCTGGTCACTTGTTGATGTTGATACTCCCGAAATATTTTATTGTTTAAAATTATTGCCAGGCCACGTAAAATGTTTCTTGGCAATAATAACTTATTCTAAAAACGCCCTCAATTCGCAGAATCCTCACCTTTAATGTTTGTGTCTCTAATGGCAATCGGGTTTGTTTTCTGGAAACTCTTATTGGTGTCCCAATGAGCGACTTCGTATATTATGAAAGTCTGATTATGAGCATCCATGATATCAGCTTTCTTATGGAACCACAGTTCAGCGGTACTAACATCCGAACTATGAATATCATTAGGCATTTGGAACGGTAGACATGCTGATGGATAATTCACTTTTCTAAGGCAGCGTGCTTCATCTGGAATGAATAAAACGCCTCATTATTAATTGCCCTCATTACACAATACCATTAGGTTTTTACCTGTCAAACTCGTTTGTAATTAATGAGCTAGTGATAGGATGGAATAGCCGCAACATGATAAGGATTATAAACAAGTGTCTCCGCATCCAAGGGTCAAAAGAGAATCTTCATAGTAAATAAAAATCATTTATTCATTGCTGTCTAGTACAAAGTTTAATGAACATTAATCTGGATCACATAGCATAGCGAACCTATTTATTGCTTCATAGTAAATAACTTTGCTACAGTATACTGTATTTCTATGAGCTGTTTAGAAACTTTGCTTTTCTTTTATTTTAATCGTCAAACGCATAACATGTAATGGAAATAGCGTCAATATTCGTGATTTTTATATCACACTCATGCTCATTTATAATTAGTGCATGTTTCGGATTTTTTAATTATACATAAATCAGTTCAATGCCTGTGAGATTACGAATGCACAAGGGCAAATTATCACTCCCACACTTCTATTGGTAAAACATTATCTGCTAATATCGTAATTAGCTCAACATTCCTTAGTTAATTAATGTACAAATTAGTGAGCTAATGTGATAACTTTTTTGCCACTTTACTACTAGCCAATAAAAGTGTCCATGTCGAAATTTGTTTTAAAATATTTATTTATCAGCTATTTGTGTGAGAATTAAGTGGTTATTTAATTAATTTTTGAGCATGTGCTTTGGCTTGTGGAATATTTTAACTCCGGCTTGGTATCATGACAAATTCCTTTTTTTTATGTAATAATTTGAATATGTCCTAAGCTCTGCAAGTTTTTTCATATAATTTACAAACAAATTATAGATAAGGGAAAGCTGTGATTATTAGCAAAATAAAATTCCGTTTTAAAGCACGGCGCATGAAGAATTTTAAGCAGCATTTGAAGAAGTTCAAAAGAGAAAAGAAAACTGGTGTTCAGGGCGAAAGTACGCGCATTTCGTAATAATACAAATTGATCAGAATTACATAAACGCGTAATAATACACGAGTAATTGTTGCCAATTTACTGATTAATAAAGTAGCAGAATAAAAATATTTTATTGATACGGGGTTTATGTTTTATGGCGATAAAGTGGTTATTCGGTGTGTGACCGGTGAATTAAGGTTACTGAACCAATAACGAATGCTATAATTAAACCTGAATAACTTTTTTTTAAAACGTATTAGATATTTGAACCCTCATTATAACTGAGGCGAAATACAGTGACAAATGTTCAAACAGCGGATACATCGAGTCCAGGACTATTTCTAACAATCTCGATAGCAAACAGGGAAATAAATTTTTTTGTTATTTGAAATTTTTCCTCGCACAAAGTTCTTAGATGCAAAAGTGTTTGCGATGGATTCAGTATTTTCAGCTCATAATTGATTGAGTGGTGCACGAAGACAGACTGAGCTTCCTGATTATTCTAGTTTTTGCCAAAAACACTGCTAATTTTCACAGTTTGTCATAAATATTCCACTCCGTATAACGTAAAAATCCTATATGGATTCTATTTTGCGCTGATATCTCGGACAGAGTCTAAATTATGTGGCTGGTTGTGTTTCCCAAACAGATGGTTTGGGAAAACTGAGAATTTTCTGCTTCGGGCAAATCCCGAATTTTAACATATTTAGGTCGCAAAATCGAGTTATGTTTTAAAGGAATCTCCTAGGAATCTTGTGTATCAGTGCTTGCACCTAAAATGCTTATTTCTACTCTTTCCATTTTTATTTAAAATCATTTCATTCTCTTATCCGGATGTTGAGTTGGTGATAATTATCACTATCTCGTTGGCAGCAAAGATAATTATTATTATATTTGCATCTGTAAGTTCTAAATTTATGTAAAAGCATTACAGTTCCTAATCATTGTTTTTTGGTTTAGGTAATTGCACTGCCGTTTTTCCAATTTTATTATGCCAATGAATGTTTCCTTGAAGGCTTTCTTGGTCAGTAGAAATTTTGTTGTGGAAATAAAACATAAATTAGGTCTTCCAGATTGATATATTTGTTTTGTAAAATTACTACGTATTCTAATAATTATATGCGAAAAACTACGGTGTGGAAATTCAGCAATATAAGGGTTTTTTGGTGCCAAAAAGCCTTTGAGAGTCAAATGAGATATCGACAATTTGAAAGTGGAGCCTAAACGATAGCGTCTATACATGAAGTGTGTTCTTAACGTTATTGTAATTTTTTCTTGTTTGTTATGACACTGTTTTATGGCTGTGATTATTTTTATGCTTCCACATCAAACAGCATCTTTGAAAAATAAAAGAGTCTCTATCTATGGCTTGAACAAAAATAAACTTTCGGCAAAAAATATCGCAAAATGTATATTTTTTGCGCGATTTCCGCGAAGCAACGAGTGCCCTTGATGCTTTTCAATATTCAAATCCATATTCAAAAGTTTTTCTCAATGGCAGATCTAGATATTACACGAGCCAGTGAAAAAACGGACTGATTTCTTGTTATTGCGACGAGACTCTTTAGACACCGGTCAGTGGGTTAAAGCACTAACTAGGAGGTTTTATTAAAAAAATTTATGTCGTATTATAAACGAATAGGTAGCTAATCGGTGGTTATAATGAGCTGAGTGGAAGAAGCCATCATTTATCACTGTGCAGGGGACTGACCAGTTTTGTCTGAAACCAAGGAAAGGACGTATTAGGTTTGAGGAATCCGGAATTTAAAAGCAACTGTGAGGTGGGATGAAAACGACTCCCATAGACCTTAAAAGCCATCAAACTCGAAAAATGTTTGCAACCAAGTAGCATTTTTTTAAAATAATGTTAATTTTTGGGGGCGCACTCTCAAATTTTTCTAAGGTATAGGGCGGTTGGTTCAGAACTTCAAGCGGGGCACCTTGTTATGATTTGGGTAAAAAGTGCCATACCTTCGTAGGGAAGAACAACGGCTTGGGTGGTTTTTCCATAAAAATCATCGTCGTATCGGCTGAAGAAATTCGTATCCTGGTTGGGTAAAAGGTTTTCGTTTTCCTTGATGGGCTTGGGAAGATCTGCAATGGTGATCTGCGGTTTTTCCTTGAGTCGTAACTTTTTCAGTATTTGATTTTTAATATACTCAATCCGGAGGGCGGTAAAGTCCGCTTCACTGATCGTACCGACCGTATCCGGATCGTCAATTTCCGAATCGACACTGTTTTCTTGAGGTATTTCCGATTGCGTTACCGATCTGAAGTAAAAAGAAGATGGAAAAATGCCTCCAGCAACATATCTAACGGAGCCGCTGAGAACGAATATGTACACCAACGTTAACATAATCCGATACATTGCGGAAAAAATACGCATAAGACACACTAACTTGTTTACAAAATGTTTTAAATTGATGCAGGGAATTTCTCTCTTAAACATAAACTTTACCCCACCATTTCTTAACATTTCTGTTTCGAATGATCCATTTGAACCTTGAACCTGATATATCTCTATCGGAACTAGAGTAATGTAGTGGTAAGATTTGATAATGCGAAGAAGAATGTCACTACAGGGCACGTGCTAAATGATTAAATATCTATTTTCGGGTTAGAAAAGGATATGGTACTTTTACGCAAAATTTCCTGTGGTCGTTAACATCTTTAGAGTTATACTCTGCCGCCTGGGAAAAGCGTGACACATCAGCTTTGGGTTGATGTTTTCTTAACAAGAATGCGATAAGCTCGTTGCCAGTTATTATCATTTGGATAGTTCGTGCCTAGTATAATTACATGTGCTCATTACTTTTGCAGTATCACATCGATATAAAAATTTATATTGAGAAAACAAAATAAAAATAACTTCCAAAGCATATTGAACTTATATTGCAATAACATTGCATATTTCATAAATAATATTTATGTCAGGCATATTGATAGGCTAGGGTTGAACATTCCCACATTCCAAGAAGATATTCTTTTCTTGGAACACATAGCGAAAAACACTGCCATTGGCCAATTCAATTAGGCATCCCGCGGTAGCCGCTCAACCTTTATTAAATCAATTATTTTACTTCCTAAATAACAAAACTCTACATCAAAAATTTTGAAACACAAACTGCAAACAGGTTCTAACGTTCTTCCACCCTGACCACCTTCGCGAGTTAAGTGCGTTTAATTCGCTTTCTCTGCATCTTCTAATCAAATATTCCTAAAAAATTCAATTTTTAATACTTTTTAATTAATGTATCATCAATAAATTATGTAAAATTATCAATTATCAATTAGTTCCTGCTTCAACATCCCAGGAAATCCAATTTGTATTGCTTCCTCCAGTTTTATTAGAGTTGCTCGAATGGAGCGATTGTCTTAAATTTATAGTTTCAAGCGTAGCGCGTGTAAATTGATCATCACTTTGTAGGACGATTTCAGTCATTAATTTTGATTTGTTGGCTGGGCAGAAAATCAAAAGCGCTGTCTAATTTCGGAGGCACGATCTAACGGCATGTCTGCTAATCATTTCCCGGATTCCAAACGTACAAAAAGAACACAAATTGTGTAAAAACATACATTCCGTGTGATAGTTAAATAATTAATCATGTGATAAAAATGTCGAGGCCCAGACAGTTAATTAATGACATTTTTGTAGTTAGTATCAAGTAGCACATGCATCATGTAATAACTTGCCACTAGAAGAAAGGAAAAACATGCCACTAGAAAATAGTGAAGCAAGATGAAATGAAATTTCCAATTAATAAACCCAAGTGGTCGAGGTTCTAAGCACGCATATACGAATCTGAGAATATTTTCAGATCGCGTATACTGGAACACAGCACATCACTGATGGTTGATGTGTAAATATACACAATAAAATGAAATGTTTCATCAGTTTGAATAATTTTCGAACCGATAATTTCACACATCCGCATGCATCTATTAGAAGGCTGGTTGTCATGTAAGATAGTCCGCTCACTACTTAAACCCTAGAACTATTAAACACCAATTGATTGGTTTGGTTCAGATATTTTTGAGGAGTTTTACGTGATTCCAGTGACCCAATTTATCTGGACAACGATCTGAAGATCACTATGTCAAGTAAATGTAATAGGAATTTAGGAGAAAGGAGATTTCGATCCTTTTGCTTTAAGAACAGATTTAAAAAAGCGAGAAGTGACATCAAAAAGTTGAAGGAAGAATCTCGTATTTTAAGGCGCATTTTGGACTATAAAATATTAAAAAGTAAGTTTGCTTTTTCTGCGCTGAAGATGGAATATATTCAATTATTAAAACTTGAACTCAACACAGACTGAGCCAAAAATTTTACCTTTTCAAAGTCTAGTCTAGATGCATTTTTCTGAAACTTTGCACATGTATGTGCTCAAGTGCCTACTAAAGATGCTAAAAGACGCAACTGCTTGTCTGCTTTAGTCTGGGAGATATTAATTTTTAAGTAAGCGAGCGCAAATATTTTTTTTACAAAAATTCAGTTTCACGACTTGCGTACAATTTTACATTATTAGCGCTCAAATGCATCTAAAGTTTGCGGAAAGTATAACAATTCTGAATATTTTTCGACATTTAAATGCATCTGGCCTTTACATAAAGTGTGAAAGTTCAAAATATGTTTGGCTTAAAAATTGGATATCCGGCCTTCAAACCCTTTAACTTTTCAGTTTTCTAACCGAGTTTCGTTTTTTCAACCGTATTTTTTTGGGAACATCAACGCAGTTTTATTTTGTTTAAAGAAAGTGCGATTTTCGTGCCTGGAAATGTTTGTTTTCATCACTTAAATCCATCTCAAGTAAAATAGAAAATTGTTTTGCTCGATGTTCAAATCGTAATAAATCAAATCTTACGTTTCTTAACCGTCTTGAATTGCCAAACAAGCCGGTTTTGCAGAAGATTGTGCTCTTTACAGCCCAGTATTCCCAAATATGTTTTTCAAATAATAGAATTTTCCACCTCAAATTCCCTGGAATTTTGTTAACAATGCAAACATCTTATGTTGCTTTCGCTGAATTTCAAATTTCCACCTGAAGCCAGTATTAAGAGAAATACGTGAAAATTGTTTATTTTTTATGCATTGCAACACATTTAGATTATGTTTTGGAAGCTTATCATTGCATGTCTTTGAAGAAACGCACCTTACACCATTTTCAAAGTAATTATATTTGCAAGTGCATGAACTACGAAAATTGCGAGTGCTAAAAACATTAAACATTTTAACAATTTTTTTTTAATAAAAAGTTTATAGAAAGTTATATTCGTTTTCAAAGAAAGCGACGTGTTTGGGTCAATAATAAGGAAGAAAAAGGTCGTCGACTAAAGATCGTAAACTCTCAAAAAACGCTTAAAATGTGTCAAAAATGTCTATTATTTCGGATATCAAACTTCTAGCATGTTTTTCGATGGACTCCTCGCGACCGTGAGCTGAAAATGATATAAAATTTAAGACGTTTTGAGAAAATTCATTTTTTCAAAAAATCAACCCCAACCTTTGGAAATATTTCGACCAAAAATTAAAATTTCACATGCGTGTTTTTTTAGCTCAATCGATTCCTTTCGACGTAACAAAGTCACAAATATGTATTTATAAAGTGCTT